TCTCTCTCTCTCTCTTTCTTTCTTTCTCTCTCATTCTTCCTCTCTTAAATTGACAAATTATTGATTTGTGAAATATGACATACAGTGATTGACAAATTAATTGCTTGATGTCAATCATTATTTATATTTAATATACAATACTTGAATGAATTAGATTTTTATACAATATGCACCCAATAGTTGATATCTGATGTTAAAATCATTAATTTTGGTAAAATAAAGTACAAATTTATAAATTTTAAATGAAAACACTTTGTTTTATATTTTTTATAGTAAAATGAACAGCAAATATTCAATTTTTTTATAAAAAATATTAAAAATGTATTAACTTGATTGAGTTTGAAAACAATATTAGTGCAGTAGTAATTAACTTTAGAATTATATATTGTAATTTTAAGCTTAATCTAAACAAATCTAAAGTATAATACTATGCATTAAACAAGTAAAGTAAATATGTTTAGATAACATATCATCGTGTTCATTTAATTACAATCTCCAAATATAAGATTATAATGCTGTCAATTCGGTTTAGACTATCAATAATTGTCTTTCATTAATCGGTAACCACAAAGAACTTAAACTCATGTTTATATAAAAATTAATAGTAATTGGTCATGCTTTATTGGGTATTTATTGATCCAATAAGTCTTGTTCTAATCATGGTGATAAATCTGTCAACTAATGTAGAAAATGAACTGAAATTTAAACAAAATTGTACTTAAAGTGAAGGACTAAAATAAAAGTGATAAACAGATCATAAGTTCACATTTTGTGACAAGTATTTATATACGATTTGATATAAATTCAAATAAATTCAAATTAATACATTCATTGAACGACAAAATATTTTGATCAATAGCAATTTAATTAACACATAAGTTATAAAAATTAACTAAAATAAATATGAGTAACGATAGGATACTGCGCTCCAAAAAACAATTAACTCAAGTTAAATATAAAACTATTGGCGAGTATTTTTGGAAAAGATTGAATCAACTCGATGATAATCAAATATGCATGGTAAGTGTTAAAATAATAAACATTTTAAAATAAATTAACAAATTATTTATATTCCCATTTGTAATCATAGACGGAGGCAACAAGTGGTCTGACTCTGACCATCGGTCAACTCAAATGCCAGGCAAACAGTATAGCCGTGGCGTTGATCGGTCGGGGAGTGACCAAAGAGGATAGAATCGCTTTCTACGGCCAAAACTCAATACAACACTCGGTGTTGCGATTTATGACTACATTTTTGGGCCTAACATTTATGCCTTTGAGTCCAACATTTGAAAAGTATGAGGTGAGGGAAGAGTGCCAGTCGGCCGGCGCCACCATTATCATTAGCTCAGCGCAAGACTTCCATAAATTTGAATGGGTTTTGGACGATAGCTGTAATAACAATTCAAAAGCAATCAAACTTGTGGTCATATTTGACGGCAAACATGACACTCATGTGACGTTTGACAAGTTGTTGGCTGAGGGCGCGGGTAAGACTTTGGACCGATACCCGCACTTTGCCGTAAACCCGGACACCGACATGTTTTTCCTAATTCATACGTCGGGCAGCACTGGCCCCCCGAAGTGTGCAATGATACCGCATCGGGCGATACTCGCTGGCTGTCAGGAAACAAATATATTTTTAAACTTTGATAACATCGACGGTCAGGTCGTATGCGCGATGCCGTTCCCGTGCGGACACATTAGCGGTACAGTTATGATACCAATGCAAGTGCTAAATGGGGTTCATTTAATACTGTTTGCCGAATTTACTGAAGAGAGTCTTATGCGAGGCATTGAAAAGTATAAAATCAATGTTTTGCCAGCGTTTCCCAGTATGGGTCGTAGACTAATTGAGGGTGATTTGGTTGGCAAATATGATATCAGTAGTTTGAAAGGCATGAGCACTGGGGGCGCCGCCTTTCCCGGCAATATTGCCAAAGAGATTATCAAAAAGTATGGCATTAGGTTTAGAGAAGGTATGCATAACTACAATAAAATAAACTAATTGAGTTATAAATAATATTATATACTTTTTAATAGCTTATGGAATGACCGAGTTCATATGGGTAACAGGTGGGTCTGACCCCAACGAAGAGTTTATACCAGGAAATGCTGGTAATGTGGCGCCGGGTTGTGAAGTAAAGATTGTTGACTCAAACACTGGTGAAAGTTTGGGTACCAACCAAGATGGTGAAATATGTGTTCGGGGCAATAAACTGTTTGCCGGTTATTTCAATAATGAAAAGGCAACGAAAGCAGCCTTTGATGAGAACGGGTGGTATCGGACGGGAGATATCGGGCGATACGACGAAAGAGAGCGTATATTTATCACCGATAGACTCAAAGAAGTGGTTCGCATAGGAATTGGTAACCACTATATAAACATATCTCCCGTTGAGATCGAGCAGTACTTACTGACCCACCCGTCCATCGCTGAAGTGGCTGTTGTGGGCGTTAATAACAAATCGGGCACTCATTGGCCCCGGGCTTATGTTGTTCTAAAACCCAATCTATCTGATATTACAAGTACACAAATTGAAAAATATGTTTCAGGTAATTTTACTAAAATAGTTAGTAGTTTATTGTTTTATTCTAATTATACTCTAATAACAGACACATTGGCGTACACTAAGCAACTGAAGGGAGGCGTTGTGTTTATCGATGGCATTAAAAGAACTGCAATCGGAAAAGTCGACCGAAAATATTACCGGTCTTTAGTTAAGGACGAAGTGCTCAACTATTAGTGCATTTAATCCTATTTTAATTTTAATAAATAATTTTCGTAAATGCATAAAAATAAATTGTAAAATTTGTTGAATATTATTTAATACTTTAAGTCACATTTTAAAATGCATTTAACACTAAATAGTACAAAACAATAATTGTTAAACTTAAAAGTATACACTGTATGTAATAAAAGTTTGATTCAGTAATTTATATACAGTACATGTATGTACATGTATGTTACATGTATGTTATTTAAGTTTTAATAAAACTTCTTGTTATCCTAATATTTACAAAATGTATATGATAAGTTACAGATGCCATTAGATTATTATTGATAATTTATCAATGATAAATATAGACTAGATGGTATATAATTAGTGTTTATAATTTATTTATAAATTAAGTACAAAGTTGGGTACTTAATG